AGATACAAGGTTGAACCCCGACATTCGACCTTGTAAATAGCACGCCGAGCAGCGCGTCAGAAAAGTATGTTACCCGGTACAAGCGTCTTTAAAGTAGGTTACCCGGTACTCGCCTACGTGCCACAGATGTTGCCACGTGGCTACTGACGAGTGCCCTAATCGAGGGTTGTCTTCGTTGTGTCATTTCCAGCTTCGCGAATCTGTCGCCCGTTTCGCCTGCTCCTCGTACGTGCTGTAAATCGCACATGCTCGCATGAACGTGCGCTCGCACGTTCACAACGCCGACTCGAGTCAAGTTCACATTTCACATTCGAACTTTTGTGCGCTGTAAAATCCCCTGCTTTTGCCAATGGGCCTTGGCGAAATTACGGAAACGGGTAACCACCAAAAGTTCGACCTTTTTTCCGATAGATCACGCGCGCCCTTAAGGCCAGTGCTTTTGATGTTTTTTGGCTGAAGTTCGAGCCTCAATCACTTATCAACGTGAAAAAAAAAAAAAAAAAAAAAAAACTTTGAAAACGAATCCAACCGTTTAGAACCTTTCTGCAAGTTCGAATCAGTAGAGAAGTTCGACTCTGCGCACCGCGCCCTTAGGAAGGTTGAGGCACTTATGAGTTGTTTGGGACTCCAGTCGAACTTCCACGCTAATTCGAACTTGCAGAAAGGGTTTGCACGGTTCGATATGGTTACAACGTTTATATTCACTGTGCAAAGTGGTTAGCCTTGAACTTTCAGTCAAAATGCATCAAATGCACCGCATCCTTACATGTTCGCCAAATCAGTGTGGGTTGAATTTCTATGCGAACTGAACTAACATCACACCATATACCACACCATATAAGTGGGTTGAATTTCTACATGAAATGAACCAACACCACAATGCGTAGAAGGGCGTGCGTGTCATATGGAGTTAGATTTTGCTCAAAACCCTATTCAAATTCTCAAAGTTCTAAATGAGCCACTCTGCGATGCATAACATCTCATCTCGTGTACCTTAATTCCCCAAATAAAAGACCCAGGGGTGTTAAAAGAATCGCACATGCAAAATGGGGGAGGGGGTGGGGGTCTTTGTTGAAGTATGGCGTTTAATGAGAAGGAATTCATGTAAGTTGCGAGAGCCGACTCTCCCGAGTACAAAGTCTAGGAGTCAAATTGGTCGAAGCGACATCAGCAACCGTCAGATCAAGACAGATGCAGGCAAAAACATTCGAAGTTAAAAAAATGTGGGAACAGGAACAGGTTTGAAACGCGTTTCTCCGCCACACGGTTTGAATTCGCTGCAATAAGGGAATGTACCCCTTATGGTACAAAGCTGGTTAGGACGTTTCATTTTCCTTTGTTTTCTACATCACTCAATGCATGCATCTGCTATGATCATCTCATTCATTTTACATTTACTTTGATCTGATATTAACACTTTTGCTGCAACACTACATGCGATCAACTCTGAGTCGATCCCTAGCTAACTCCTTTTATGATTGTAACATGCTATGGGAGGTACTCAGGGATTATTTGCACATGCACTCCGGAAAGTTTGTATTAAAAAAAAATATTTTGTTATGCTTTTCATATAAACTGCCAACAGCATTAACAGTAGTGTAGTGGTATAGCTTGTTGTAGATGGTACACCTTTGTGCCCACCCTTGCTCCTACTTGTACCCTTGTTTATCCTCTTTTGCCAAACTCCTCCCTCACGCTACTCTTCATACCCCACACCCTAGCCATGGCTTTTTAGCCTAAGCTATTTATTTTATATGGTGTCAGAGCGGTTCATTCTGGGACCAGTTTTTATAATAATGGGCCCACCGTTAGCTTCCGCTATGGCGCACTCCATCACACTGCCCGTAGCGCACCCCTAGCGCGCGCCTCTTCGATGCTCGTCGCGCGTCCCTTGTGCTCGTCGGTTTTCTGCCCGTCGCGCGCCCTAGCACGTGTTGTTTCCTAACCGTTGCACGCCATTCTAGCGCGCCCGTCGTGTGCCCCTAGTGCGCGTCGGTTTTCTGTCCGTCCCACCCGTCGCCCCACTCGCGCTCCCGCCATCGCCAGCTACGTCTGCGCCTTCTGATGCGCTTGCGACAGGTCGTGCAAGGGGGGGGGGGGGGGGGGGGGGGGAATTGGATTTGTTAGATCAATGTCAGGTAATTTCTAAACCCAGGTTGTTCTATGTTCTTATTAAACGGCAAATTTATGATACTTGATATTTTATTATGTTTATGTCAGTCTTGGAAATATCAATAATTGGATTGTTGGAACACAAGAACACCATAATCAAGTACCTACCTAGAGCTGATGATAAATATTGCTGTATTAGCGACGCATCCATCGTAACGGATTGCACCAATATCGACTTTCGCCAGCCTCATTCTGCTCCTGCATGTCCTTTCACCCACACTCTAGTCCTATTTATCCTTACCTCACTTCATCGGACCAAGAATTGCCGTTCAGCTGCCTCGGTCTGTCGCGAGCTGTTCCCGTCAGCTCTCAGCAAATGGCGAGCCTCCCAGAGCTTCGCCATCCATTACTTCACTCAGAAAGAAAAGAACGCATAGATAAATGCTGCACGTTTTTCCTGCTTTTTATCGCATTTTCCGCAGGCTGCATAGGTGGATTTATCAACTTCTATCATTCAGCAAGAGATGAATCACCTAAGCACAGCATACCTAACAGACGGACAGCGTTCCATTTCCAACCGGAAGGGAACTGGATGAATGGTCAGTATATATCAGTGGCTAGAATCAGTGGCTATATAGTAAACATCTGATGATGTCGATGACTGAACCCCCGTTTTCCCTTTGCAGATCCGAATGGTGAGCGCTGCTTTATTGGGGCCTATGGCGTCGTGTCAGTTTCTTGACTAAAATGTCTTCATTCAGGGCCAATGTACTACAAGGGACACTATCATTTATTCTACCAGTACAATCCTTTTGGAGCAGTTTGGGGTAACATAAGCTGGGGTCATGCAGTTTCAAGCAATCTGATCCAGGTATGAAGCAGGTTCAACATGTTTTATACCTGTTATGTCGTCCTTGACTGACATGCTCCCGCTGGCAGTGGACCCACTTGCCAGTGGCCATTAGTCATGACAAGTGGTATGACGTAAAGGGTGCATGGTCGGGTTCCGCTGTGGTTCTCAGCGACGGAACTCCTGCTATTCTGTACACCGGAAGCAGCAAAGATAACGTGCAGCTACAAAACTTGGCTTTTCCAGAAAACACATCCGATCCTTTCCTCACAACATGGGTGAAAAGCCCTTACAACCCCATAGCAGTTCCACCTCCTGGAGTTAGCAAATTTGACTTCAGAGACCCATCTGCGTGGAAAGGAAGTGATGGAGTCTGGCGAATGATTGTTGGATCAAGGCAAAATGGGACAGATTGCGTGTTCATGTACAAGAGTAAGGACTTCACTAACTGGTCGAAGATTCCTCAGACGGTTAGAACGGCGCCTGGACGAGCTGGAATGTGGGAGGTAAGTGTTTCTAGTCTCAGTGTGATGTGCTGGTTTTTGGTTTTCTTATTTTTTTGCGTTTATTGTCATGCAGTGTCCAGATTTATATCCTGTTTCCACGAATGGCAAAGTTGGACTGGATACGTGTTCCGACAATCATATTTGCCTTCACGTTCTAAAGGCTTCTTTTGATGACGATTTTCTTGATTACTATGCCATCGGAACTTATAGCCAAGCAAATGAAACTTGGGCTCCAGTGGATTCGCGCATCGATGTACAGAGTGGGCTGCGATATGACTACGGGAAGTTCTATGCATCAAAGACCTTTTACGACCCCTCTACACACCGCCATATCTTATGGGGATGGGTGAATGAGTCTTATTCACAAAATGACGACATATCTAAAGGTTGGGCTTCAGTCCAAGCTATACCACGTGTTGTCAGTTTGGACAGGTCAACAGGAAAGCACTTGTTAATGGAGCCTGTAGAGGAATTAAAGCTTCTGCGAGGAAGGCACTTGCATGATGCTGGCGTCATATTAAAGGAGGGGATGAACAAGCTTGTCAAAGGCTTTTCAAGCATGCAGGTAAGGAACGTTTTAAAGGCTGTCCAAGGTAATGCAGGTAGGTGGTGATCATTTGATTATTAACAAATCGTGACTGCAGGTGGATATGGAGATAGTGTTCGCCTTTCCCAACGTTATGACCTCCAATGAGTACCCCCTTCTTGAAAGTGACTGTGGTTGGGATGAAAATTATGTTTCAAGAGTTGTTGGCCGATTTGGGGTCCATGTTCTTGCCTCGGCAAACTTGGACGAAAGAACATCTATCTATTTCGAGCTCGCCAGTGGTGGTCCTTTGGGTCAATGGCAAGTTCGACTTTGCAGTGACCAAAGAAGGTAAGAGAGACAACTTTTGAACCTGTCTAGCATTGCCTGAGTTGTTACGCTTGCAGATCATCATTGTCAGAAACGGCGGAGAAGAGTATTTATGGGAGTCAGCTTATGCTGCAAGTATCTGAGGATAGGCTCCTCCTAAGAGTTTTGGTAAGTGCAAGCAGAGATAGTTTCTTAACCAACGGTAACCGTTTTCGTCATTATTTAATCCATCTCACTTCAGGTCGACAACTCGATTGTGGAATCCTTTGCCCAAGGAGGGAAGTCTGTCATTACAGCAAGAGCTTACCCAACCGGGAAATCAAACAGAATATATTTATTCAACAATGGACCAGCTGTGGGAGTGATTTCACTAGATGCTTGGGAGATGATGTCTACCAACAATTGAATGGACACATACCGAAAGAAGTGGTTTGGTCATGTCTAGTAATTTTGTGTAGAATGTGGAGAACACATGCGGTAGTGCTTAAATGTATCGCTTATTCCTGAACGTGTATGAGTTGTCCGCGAGTCAATGCTTCTGCAGGCGCATCTGTCATGCCAGAGCAGAGGCCTCATGGGTGGTGAGATCAGGATTGCAAAGTGTCGTCATACTGTTTATTGTTTAAGAAATCAACACCGCAACGAGATTGAAGCACACACATGAAATATCCATCAGCTAGGTACCGACATACGTTGGACATGCAGAGTTTATTGATGTAACTGCTGTGGGATCGGTTGGGCACATGGCCAGTGGACAGTTATCAGAAGATGTTAGTCCAGCACCCCACCAGGAGAGGGAAACAGAAGGGGTTTCAACCTGAACCCCAAAGAATATGAAAAGTGCCATGAACATGACTCCTGAATCAAGTGCTGCAGACAGCACGTAGTTGTACCGACGCCACCAGTCCTGGAAAAAAAAAAAAAAAAAAAAAAAGGTGCCACTAATAAATACCGTAGATGCCATGGCAGACAGAGAGGAGAGAATTGTTTCCTGCGAAAGATGGTAAATGAAAGGAGCTGGCCATGGAAACTTAGCTTGCAGAAAGCTTTGCTAAAACTTCTGGGAAGCAGATCGACAGATGACCGGTTACCTTTCGGTAAGTGAAGATAAGCTTGTTGAATATAAAGCCCATGGTGAGCCAGCCCAGGAAGTTGATGGGCGTGGCTGGTGGCATCATGCCCACACCAGTAAGCATGACTGGGATGTGCACCTTGGTCAACCACTGCAAGCAAGATGGAAATGGAAAGGCATCAAGTGCAGGTGGTGTATAGCAAGGAGTGTAAATGAGTTTCAAGACATCAAGCTAATGGTCGGAGCCATAACCACTGCAGCCACATCACTGAAGGTAAGTGGCCTGAACCTTTAAGATAACAAGGGCGCATGCTGGACACAACAAGCATTCATGCATACGTTGTCGCCATGTGCATGAACACCCTCTGACTGCATCATCCCACGATGTGTCGAAACCTGGCCGGTTCACTACATGTCAGGGCAAAAGCTTGCACAAGGCCCAGCAGGCAATAAGCATGACATGCTCCACCAAGCAATCACCAAGCTTTGCCAGCTCACTGCTTGAATGAACCTACTAAGAATATGTCCAAGGCAACTTACCACCTGGCGCGGCCACATCTTGTGCGCGGCCCAGAAGGGGATGGGTGCGAGCGCCCCGCCAAGGAACCACCAGTTGAGGTTGTTGTAGAAGGCCGTGGGGCCAAACATGCGCTCGGGACCGATCAGCCCCCAAATGATGGACGCTGAATAGAACACGTTGGCTGTGGGGCACGTCCATGGGGAATTCTCCGGAAAATTCTCATCCGTGACCTGGGTCAGGGGGGGAGCAGAGGGGACATGGGGAGGAAGGGACGAGGATTGGAGAGGCGGGGGGGGGTGGGGGGGTCACAGAAAAAGGAGGGGATTGCAAAGGGGAATCGGTCATTGAGCGATGGGTAATGATGGAGCAGGCGGCATGGAACATGCACTCCGGGTCAATGAGCCCCCAGATGATAGACACCAAATAGAACACGTTAATGGGGATGAGCCCGTTCTCCACGGTATCGTAGAGCCACCAGGACGTGCCGAGACTGACTCATAAGGGACCAACCAAGCAGACAAGACAGACAGTGCTCCCTACCTTGCATATCAGCCTGCACCTTGCAGTTCAGTCCCACCTTGCAGATGAGCCCGTTCTCCACGGTATCGTAGAGCCACCAGGACGTGCCGAGATTGACAAGACCTGCTAAGATAGTGGCGAATACCTGTACCACAAACATGGCTTGCGGGGGGATCTGCATTCATGCATGCATGTATGCATGTACATGCATATGCAGAAAGTGGGCAGAGCGGGAAAGATTGGGTTAGAGGGACAATTGCAGCTCCATTGCGCCTTGTCAATGCTAAGGTAGGCGAATACCTGCACCACACACATGGCTTGTTGTGGGATCTGCACACATGCGCGCACAGGCAGAAAGTGGGCAGAGAGGCAGCGTTTTGACTTGCAAGAAACCCACAGCTATGTGCAGACAAAACTTCCCAACGGGCAGATACAGTGGGTGAGGACGACACAAAACAGTGGCGGAGAGGGAGGAATGTGCAGACCTTCATCCTTCGCCGTAGCTGTTTCAAAAACAAACAAACAAACAAACGTTTAAACAAAAAGCCATCAGGGATTCGGCCACCTTCACGTAGAGTCCGAGCTTGAAATCTTGCAGAAAGGCGATGGCCTGCGTCGCGTCACACTGATGTACGCATATGCCTTAAAGCACACGTTCCCTATGCCCCCACCCCCCCTACCCCCTACCCAGGGGTTTTGAGTAGACTCAAAACACGGAACCATCTCACCTTCATGTAGTGCCCGAGCTTGAAATCTTGCAAGAAGGCTATCGCCTGCGTCATGCTGATATACCCATACGTCTTAAAGCACACGTTCCCTATCGGCTCCCCCGGTCGAATGTACCCCCAAATCATCTCCGTGATTATATTGAGCCCCGGCTGCTGATTGGTGGTGGCGGTGACTATGCCGATGGGGAGCGTGAAGAAGAGTGAGAGGGCAGCGGAGAGCAGCAGGCCCCACCAGGGCAGCTGGAAGTAAGTGTTGAGTTCGAGGAAGGCGATGCAGACAGCGATGTTGGCGAGGAGCAGCAGCAGGAACCACCACCAGGGCACCTTGGGGTAGCGGCGCATCAGACGTGTGTGCACGTCTGGTTTGACCTCCGTGGCTGAGAGAAGGGGGGTTGGGAAGCGAAGGGAGGGGGGGAAGAATGGGAGTTTTGAGACGTCTCAGCACTCCATGAGACACAGGTGCGCGTTTGGCTTTCCCTCCGTGGCTGAGAGAAGGGGTGTTGGGGAGTGGGAAGTGGAAGGGGTTGGTCAAGGTGTGGGGTGGGGAGAGAATTGACAGTAATCAGTAAACCACATCTGTGCTGTGATTGTCACCACAAACCAGATAGCTGCAGGGTAGTTTTCAGATGAACGGCACATATGACTCCCGCATACCAGTTTCGCACTGCCATAATCTCTCATGTACCTCTAGTCACGTCCTTCAGATAAATCATAGGTCATACATATTCCATAGCACCCATTCATACCATCACACTGATAGAATTGCAGACATCCACCCAACCAGTCCAGCCACCCACAAGCATTCATCGTTCACTTGTAAACTCTCCATAGCATATGCACATACCACACCACCGCACCCCACTACACCCATCCGCACCCACCCGCACTCGTCGTCCTTTGGTAAACCTCCTCCTGCCCTGGGTGGAGAAAGACGCTGGGGGCGTCCAGCATCCTGCGTCTGGACGCTGCGTCCGGACGCAAAGATGCAGGACGCAGGTCAAAATTTTTCCCGGGCAGACCGGAAAAAAATATTCGCGATCGCGAATTTGACATTCGCGATTTCGTCGCGAATGTCATTTTCGCCAAAAATCGACCCCCCCAACCAATTTCGACCTCCAAAAACAGCCATCCCAAGCCTTCGTAAACCCCCTAATGCAAAATTGGATTGAAAATCAAACCCCTCTCCACCACTCCACATCTAGAAAACCCAACCTTTGTGGCCCACCACCTCCACAAAGCCCATTTAGTGGATGAAACCTCTCATTTGTGCTCACTCTTCTCACAACCCATTTCTCCTTCAAAAACCCTAGTGGTTTTTGCTCCTTTGCGCGCACGTCTGTTATGGCTAGCTCTAGCAATCCCGCATCTTCTTCCGCATCGAAAGATGTCGTTCCCGACGGCGATTCTCCCCCCAAACGTTTCACTACGGATGGCGTAGAGAAAAAACCGCAAAACCCTAATCACCATATTTATAGGCATTTTTGGACCTTTGACGATCCGACCAAGAAGGGAAAGCAGTGCGAGTGCCTTTGGTGCGGGAAGGTAAGAGTTCGCCTTTAGTAGTAGCCGATTCACTCAGCATCTCGCCGAATGGAACGACGCGAACGTGCAGCGCGACGGTGGAATTGTTTGCGCGAAGGTTCCTTAGCGCGTTTCGGACGCCATTCGCGGCGGGAAGGAGAGCAAGATTACGGCGCGTAAGGACAAGGAGAGGGCGATGGATGCGGCGCTAAATGCAGTGAGCGACCAAGGCGGTGCGGGACCGAAGCCTAAGAAGGGGCGGATGGAGGATTGGTATGGCGAGGGGGGGAAAACGGCGACGCGTGCGGCCGACGAGGCGATTTGCCTCTACATCGCGGGGACGCGCACGCCGGAGCGTCAGTGCGAGCACCCGCTCTTCCTCAACATGCTGCGCGCCGTTGCTGCCGCTGGAGGCAGCTACGTCCCCCCCAAGCGTGACTACGTTGGCGGCGTCAGGCTGCAGGAGTGCAAGCGGCGAATTGAAAAGGGGTTGGAGCCCATTACGAAAACTTGGAAGGAGACCGGCGTGACGATTGCCAGCGACATGATGCGGGATAAGAGCAGGCGCGCGCAGATGAACATCATTTGTATCAACGACAGCGGTGCGGTTTTCCAGGAAGCGGTCGACTGTAAGGCGGAAACGAAGAGTGGGGTGTTCATCATGAGCATCCTGCAGCCGATCATCGAGAAGATTGGGCCACAGCACGTCGTCGCTTTTTGCACGGACGGCGGCAACAACTACGTGTCTGCCGGCAAGCTGCTGCAGAAGATCTACCCGCATCTCCAGATCATTCCCTGCGCCACTCATGTGCTCGACTTGCTGTTGGAAGACATCGGCAAGATGGATTGGGCGCAGGAGGTCGTCCCAGTTGCGTGCGACATCATCTCGTTCGTGCGCAGCCACACGTGGACGCGCGCCTTCCTGCGGTCTCCCGAGCTGCACGGCGAGGAGAAGTCGCTGCAGCCGCTGCGCCCCGCGGGCACGCGCTTTGGGACGAACTACATCGCTGTGTCGCGGCTGCTCCAGATTCGTTCGCATCTGACGCAGATGGTGACGCACAAGGACTGGGAGGAGAAAGGAGGTAGCACGCAGACTGGAAAGATATTTGCGGCGTCGGTGTTGGATGTGGAGTGGTGGAAGAAGGTGGAGACATTTGTGAAGGTGATGGAGCTGCCCTACAAGGTGATGAGGCGGAATGATGGGGAGGCGAAGAGGAAGATGGGTGAGTTGTACGACATCATGCTGCAGCTGACGGAGGACTTGCGGGAGCTGTTGGAGAGGGATGATTGTGGGCTCAACAGGGCGGATAAGGAGGGGGTGAAGGAGCACTTGAGGCGGCGTTGGGACGAGAGCTTGGCCTGCCCCCTTCACGTGGTTGGTCGGATTCTGAACCCGGCCAACCAGGAGGAGGGTATCTACCTTAAGGACGTTGAGTGCACCAGGGTGATGAAGGCGTGGCTCCAGCGCTCGAGGGGATTCGTCGACAAGTATTGGAAGAGCGACGGCGACACTAAGGGGACGATGAAGGCGCTGCAGGAGGGGATGCTTGCATTCATTGAGTGCAAGGGGTGCTTAAGGTCAGAGGAGACGATAGAGGGGCGGGCGGATATTAAGGCTGGGAAGGGGGACATGGTTACCTGGTGGAAGGTGAACGGATGGGAGTATCGCGACCTGGCTGGCCTTGCGTGCCGGCCGCTTTCACAGCCCGTTTCCGCTTCACCGTGCGAGCACGGATGGTCCGTGTGGGATGGCGTGCACACGGCGCGCAGGAACAGGGTGGGGTCGGAGAAGGTCCGCGACCTTGTGTTCGTTGCGCACAACTGGGACGTTGTGCACAAGCACCACAAGGGTGCGGCTGGTGCGGGGCCGAGTGGGGAAGTCAGGAAGGCGAGGATAGTGGAGGGGAACATGTGTACCCCTCCCCTTCCCGAGGGGTACAAGCTGGAGGAGGATGGAGAGGTGGAGGAGGATGAGGATGACATCACCTTCGACGAGTACAAGGGCCAGGAGGACATGGAGAAGGAGGTGGAGAAGGAGATGGAGAGCGAGGAGGATGAGAATGTGTGATGCATGTTATTGTTAGTATGCATGCTAAACCATGATTGAACTATTTGTGATAATGACAATTTGCAACTCACCAAGATGCTCTAGTGTTTAGGGGGAAATTTTGTCATTTGGGAGAAATCTTGCAATGAAAGTGTGCTACGGTCCCCCCCCCCCCCCCCCCCCCCCCCCACTTCCCTCTGCCCTATAACTTTTTTTTGGGCTGCCCGGGGGTTTTGTTGCCTGCCGGACCTGCGTCTTTTGCTGCGTCTAAAGGGCCAGAAACTAGCGTCCTGCGTCTGGACGCATGCGTCCTGGACGCAGGACGCGTCTTTCTCCACCCAGCTCCTGCCCATACGACAGCAATGCTACACTTACACATGACATGGCACTAAGTGGTCTACCACCAACCACCCACCCGTTCACCCACCTGCACTCATTGTCCGCTGGTAGATCTCCGGCTCAGACCACCCTTACATAACACATCGCCACACCACAACACCGCACCACACCAATCCGCACCACACCCACCGGCACTCATCGTCCGCTGGTAGATCTCGGGCCCATACCACAGCGCCACGTGCACCACGGTGGCAGTGAGCGCCGCAAACCCCAGCCCGTAGCTCAGCGCGAAGAACACCGAAATAAACGGCGCAAGATTCTGCTCCGTGTACATGGTCTCGTTCAGCCGGAAATCCGGCGTGATAATTGCCTGCACCGGGAATCGATCCCCAGACCACACGATGTTCAGTCATAATTCTCAGGGAGCAGCAGCAGTTGTGAGGTCTAGGCCTAAGCAAAAGAACAACAGGATCAATCCGTTTTTTTAGTATTCTCAAAAAGAACAACAGTGGCACGGTACTCGCCTGCACGGGATATAGATCTCCGGACCACTGGAAGGTGCCCGAGGAGAGGAAGGGAAAGCGCGTGGCGGCGAAAACGTTGCCCCAGTAGCAGATGGGAATGAGGATGTAGAGGAACACGGCGAAGCCGATTCCAACGTTGAGGATGGCGAACCAGGGCGCGGCGAGGGGCGAGGAGAGGAAGGCCGACATGGTTGCCCAGTCGAGAGTAATAGCCCCGAGACCCATGCCCCTCAGACCTGATGGGTGGGGGGGAAGGTAAGAGAGAGAGGGTGGGTGAGAGTGATCTTAGGAGTGGCGAGCGGCGAGGAGAGGAAGGCCGACATGGTTGCCCAGTCGAGGGTGATAGCTGTTAGTGTTAGTCTTCAATCTCACAATTTGTACTTTGTATTTTCTATATCCTAGAGTAGTGTAGTTTGCACATTGTGTTTGGTTGGGTGTACACCTACATCCCAACCAAACCCAAATGTAATCTCCAACCAATCTCCAACCCACCAATTGGAGATTGCCTTGGGATTACCCCCAATCCCTAGAGATTGCCCCCGATTCCCTTCCCCATCCTTTTCCTACCCCTCTTGGATGTACTTAAAGAGCTTCAAGCTCATTACTAATGCATCGCTTCTAAGCCTATTTGTGACATGGTATCAGAGCCCTTCAACCGCATACGCGGATCGTGATCTTCTTACCTCTGCGGATACTCGTCCCGCAAACCTCGGCGAAGCCATCGTCAACCTCGTCGCCGGTGATTCGCGACATTCGTCGGCGGAAATTTTCCCGCTGCACCTTCCCGTCACTTTCGACGGTAATTTATCTGGTAAGCGCATCGTCCGCGCTATAACCTAACGCTCGCTTTCCTCCTCGTCGGGCCGCCGCCCGTCGCCCTGCAGCTTCTCGTCGGGCTGCCGCCCGTCGCCCTGCAGCTTCTCGTCGGGCCGCCGCCCGTCGCCTCGCAGCTTCTCGTCGGGCTGCCGCCCGTCGCCCTGCAGCTTCTCGTCGGGCCGCCGCCCGTCGCCCCGCAGCTTCACGTCGGGCTGCCGCCCGTCGCCCCGCATCTGCACTCCTACCCCTTCCCCCTTCCCGCAGCTGAACAGGTGCAGCAGCGCAGCCGAGCAGCCGTGTAGCCGCGAAGCAGAGCAGCCGTGTAGCCGCGAAGCCGAGGGTGGTGTGTGGGGGGATGTGTGATAGATCTACGGAAATCGGCCGATTCGACCTAATTTTGGCGGCCTGAAAAGGAAAAAAAAAAAAAAAAAAAAAAAACCTTCTACGTGACATTCCGACGCGGCCGACATTGACGATTTTCGCTATTCCGGTCCGTCGGATTTCGGAATCGCCGCGCTGCGCGCCTATCGGTGTTCCTATCGGTGACTTAAGAGTGGCGCTCCGCGCGATAAGGGGTCTCCACCATGGCTCTCTCGTCTTCCACCATGGCGAACCCCATCACCCCGCTCCGCCTTGAAGCTGATGGCTCTAGCTCCAACTTCAAGGCGTGGAGCTACGGAGTTGACAAGCACCTCCTGAGCCGTGACGTGCAGGGCCTTGACCTCAAGGACGTCCTCCTCAACCGTGGCAAGGGGAAACAGCCTACTATTCCCCGTGAGCCGACCGAATCTCCAAGTGATACTGACGTGAGGGCGTACGAGGAGGCTGTTGAGAAGTACCGGAAATGGGAGAAGGCCGATGCTGCCATCATCAGCGTCTTCATCGCCTCCACCCCTCCCGAACTTGTCAACACGTTCCATAACTACCCTACCTCCAACGCCATCTGGAAGTACCTCCAGGATCGGTTCATGAACAAGACGGCGGTCGGCGTGGCCATTCTCATCCCTAGCATGTTTCAGGTCCGCCTTGAGGACTGCTCGGGAATGGCCGATTACATTGCCAAGGTGCAGACCATTCATGGCGAACTCAAGGAGCTGGGTATAGTCTTCCCCGAGCAAGCCCCTGCAGCCGCCCTACTTGTTGGACTCACCTCGGCATATGAGGTCACGAGGAAGATGCTCCTCACACTCTCAGCAGAGGACCTCACCTTTGCTAAGGTCTCCACCGCACTCCTCTCTGCCGAGAAAGACTCCACGGCTCAGGCCAAGGCGTACGCTATCCGCGCTCCCATGCCTCAAGCAAGTGTCGCAGCGGCTCTCGCCTCGGCGCCCTTCCAGCGCAACCGCTTTCCTCCGTGCCCCTACGTCGTCAAGTATGGGAATCGCAAGGGACAAGTGTGTGGTGGCACTAACCACCCCCTCGCCACGTGCTTCAAGAAGAAAGACGACGAATGGTACGCCATTCACGGAGTGGACAAGAAGCCGCCGAATTGGATGCGCTCTCGCAAGGCCAACCTAGTTGAGGTCCAGGATCCCGCATCGACTAGTGCTAGTGATGCTGCTCCTGCTGATGTGCGTATCAACCTGTTGTTCCCTGGCACTGCCATGATTAATGAAGCTACCTCACAGTACATCGGCTCATCACACGCACCACAATACATAGAGTTCACACTCGATAGCGGGGCCACTCACACCGTGCTCAAGGAGACCCTCTCCTTCAAACCTTACCCAACACCTATCCCTCTCTTAGGAGCTGACTCAAGCTTCACCACCCTCGCCAAGGGTACCTCCACAGTCCCATGCCCCGCCTTCCCATCCGGCACTGTCACTGGCATGTGCGTGCCTTCACTGCGTCACAATCTAGTTGCCCAAACAGAAATTCAGGAGGCAGGGCTACGCACCATCTTCCCAGAGAACGAGGACTATTGCGACATCATCGATCCACGCACCAACAAAACTCTGGCCCGCTACACCCTCAACAGCAACGGCCTCTACACGCTACGCGTCCCTCTCCCACAGGTGTCAACCACCCAAGCACAGGCCACTATCACACCATGCTCATGTCGCACCCTCTCCAACCCGACCATCCTCTACCACCATCGGCTCGGGCACCCAAATTTCCGCACTCTTGCTGACATGGCCTCCAAGAAACTTCTCCTCGGCCTGCCAGCCGCACTTCCCCCACCACCTGACTCACCAGCTCCCACGTGCCTTGATTGCACCAAGAGCAAACTGCGCCAACAGCCCCATGCTGCCTCACCCACAATCGCTGCAGCACCACTGGACCTCGTGCACATGGACGTCTGGGGCCCTGCCCCTGTTCTCGCACGAGGTGGCTATCGCTACTTCCTTATCATTGTGGATGACCACTCCCGCTATGTCTCTGTTCACCTCCTCCACACTAAGGCTGAGGCACCCGAGGTCATCATAGCGTGGGTCAAGCAGGCACAGACCACTTTTGACCGCAAGGTCAAGCGCCTTCACTCGGATGGGGGGGGTGAGTTCTGCAACGACAAGCTCAAAGCCTTCTGCTCCTCCGAAGGCATCCAGCAAAACTTCACCCTCCCTGACAGCCCTCAACAGAACGGCATAGCTGAGAGCCGCAACCACACCCTGGTGCAGATCACTCGGTGCCTCCTCAGCCACTCCAACGCTCCTCACTCTCTTTGGGGGTACGCTCTCTACCACGCTGCCCTCCTCTACAACCTTTACCCCCACCCGCACCTTCCCGACACCACTCCAACCACACTCTGGCTCGGGAAAACGCCCACTGCTCGCTCTCTTCGCGTTTGGGGATGCACCGCCTATGTCCTCCTCAACCCTCAGGCTCGACGGCATACCGGTGGCAAGCTCGGTCCCAAGACTCAGACGTGCATCTACCTCGGGCACAACGCCGACTCACCTGACTACCTCTTCCTCAATCCCTCCACTCACCAGTTGGTCAGGAGCCGTGACGTTGTCTTTGATGAGACCCGCCCATTCTACTCCCCTTCGGGACGGGACCCTCTCCCTGATCCACCCTCCCTCGTGTGGGCAGACTTTGATGCGCCTCCCGACCTCCCGCCTGCTCCTGCTCCCTCACCTCCTCCCTCTCCTGCCATCGCACCATCTCCCTCTGAGGTCACTGACCCGGCCTCACCGGTGTCTTCGGCAGCTGCTCCTCCCTCCCCCTCACCTTCCCCACTTCCCGCTGCGCCGCCCCCTCCGAGCGCACCTATCACCTACCATCGGCGGTCCCACCCTCCGGCCCCACCTCCTCCCCCGGCTCCCCCCACCACAGAGGAACCCGCTCTCCCACAGTCGCCCGAGCTGATCACGTACCGCCGGCGACCCCTTCCCCCGCCCAAGCCTGCTAAGTCACCCTCTCCGACCCCGCCAGCCCCACCCTCTTCCCCGGTGGCTCATGGCACTCGCTCACATCGCGCTACTCTTCCACTCGCGATGGTTCTTCGATACACCGCGATCACACCGCCTCCTCCTGCTGGGGGGGATGTGCCCTCTACCCTTCTAGAAGACAGGCATGAGGAACTGTGTGATCTCCATGCAGTCCTTCCTCAGCTCTCACACATCTTCCCCGACATCACTGGCTCACCCTCCCTCAACTTCGCGGAGAACCCGACCATCCCTATCCCTCTCACCGTCCAAGAGGCTCTCTCAGGCCCTCATTCTGCCAAATGGCGTGCTGCCATGGACGCGGAGATTGCAGCATTCACCCGCAACCACTCCTTCGACGACGAGACTCCACCTCCAGGAGTCAACATCGTCGGGGGCAAGTGGTTGTTCCGTGTAAAACAGCTCCCAGACGAGGCACCGGTGTTTAAAGCGCGCTACGTAGCCAAGGGCTTCACCCAGCAGCAGTACCGCGACTTCTTCCTAACCTTCTCCCCCACATCCAAACCTCCCACCATTCGTACGCTCATGGATGTCGCAGCTCGAGAAGACTTCGAGATCAAATCCATGGATGCCTCATCCGCCTTCCTACAAGGACGTCTCAAGGAGACAGTGTTCATGGACAGACCAGAAGGCTTCCCAGGAGATTTCCCTCCCAACACTGTCTGGAAGCTGAATCGCCCCGTCTACGGCCTTAAGCAAGCCCCTCGCGAATGGCACAACAAGGTGAAAGAAGTCCTCCTCTCCCTGGACTTCCACCCTTCAACTGCTGACCCGACTCTCTTCATCCGCCGTCATTCTGAGCCCTTCTACATCCTAGTCTACGTGGATGATTTCATCCTCGTGGCCAAGGACTCGGCCCAGATGACCTCAGTCCAGGCAGCCCTAAGCAAGGCTCTCCAGATGAAAGACCTCGGTGACCTCAAGCACTACCTGGGGATGGAGATCACTCGTGATCGCAAGGCTCGCACCATCTCACTCTCCCAGGAGTTCTACATCGACAATGTGCTCAAGCGATTTGAGATGGAGCTATGCACACCTGTTGCCACCCCGCTGCCGCTGCAACACCTCCTCACAGCTCCAGCGGTACCCACACCAGAGGCCTGCTCTGAGCCATACCCGGAGCTTGTTGGGTCCCTCATGTACGCCATGATGTGCACCCGGCCAGACCTGGCCTATCCTGTCAGTGTCCTCTCTCGCTACGTGGCCCCTGGACGCTTCACTGACCTTCACTGGAAGGCAGCCAAGCGGGTGTTGCGCTATCTTCAGGGCACCAAGTCTCACGTCCTCACACTCGGTGGGCTCTCCCCTCCTCGCCTAGAGGGTTACACCGACTCCTCCTGGGCTGATGACCAGACCGACCGACGCTCCTCTCAGGGGTACTGCTTCACCCTTGGGAGCGGAATTGTCAGTTGGCGCTCCACCAGGTCGTCTGCAGTCTCCCTCTCCTCATGTGAGGCAGAGCTCTACGCAGGCACCATGGCTGCTCAGGAGGCTCGTTGGCTCACCTTCCTCCTCCAGGAACTTGGTTTCCCACAGTCCGCCCCTACCCTCTGGTGTGACAACCAGAGTACCATCCACATCTCTCAAGACCCTGTGTATCACACCCGCACCAAGCACATTGAACTCCGGCACTTCTTCATCCGTGACCTTGTCCAACAAGAGCAGTTGAAAGTGGAATACGTTGCATCTGACTGCAAC